AAAAGGCCCCGCTCAGGATTTTTTTTTATTTTTTATTTAAAAAAACCCCGACTTTTATTGATCAACGGGCTCTAATATATGTAGTATTTCTGTTGACTGTAGTCAATTGTGTTAATAATTTGCAAAATTGTGTGCGAAATTGACGGTATGAATTATCTTTTGAAATATATAAAAAAATATCTGTACTGCGCAAGAAAATCCAGTTTCGGACCTAACAGTGAGTAAAACCAAGGCGTTAAAAATTAGTAAAAATTTTAAAAAAAAGCGCGCGCCCGCCCACTTTTTGGCAAAAGCCAAGGACGCTAACCAACTATTTTTTTTATATGGCCTAACAGTGAGTAAAACCAAGGCGTTAAAAATTAGTAAAAATTAAAAAAAAAGCGCCCGCCCGCCCACTTTTTGGCAAAAGCTAAGGACGCTAACCAACTATTTTTTTTTATATGGCCTTATCCTCCACCTCCCTCTAGTAATTACTTTATGACCGGTCCCGGCTTACCTTTTTGGATCTACATTTGATATCTAGGTTATCTAACTTAATAAATATTTGTTCTTTTATATTCTTTTGTTTGTTAAAAATTGTGAGTATCGATCCAAATAAAATTTGTTAAAAAAAAGTGATAATGGACGCTTACCACGTGCACGTGCTTCGGGTCGGCGACTTATCACTAAACTTTGTTAACTTTCCTGTCCAATTGTTGTCCTGAAACAGCAGATAAAACAAATATGAGTTATATCAATCAAAGCTGGGGGTATTTCGGAACATTATTGCAAGAAAATTTGGGAGAAATACGAATGGAAAAAGCGACTATTTTAAAGCGCAAACGAAGCGCTTGAATGGGTGGGTGGCGAAGTGTATAAAATTCAATGAATTTGCAGCACGTTTCAAAACACGGCTAGAAATTGACAAGAACAGTGCATAAACGTTAAAAATAGCTAAATTTAATACTAACCTATCCTTTTGCATAGCATAACTATTTTATTTCGACAAAGTTTCATAAAAATTATGCTCGATATGTACGGTTCTTCTTCGATACGACCAGGGAACGACGATAGTCACGATACCCACGTGGGTCTATGAACCACGTGTGACACGTTTCGCCCGCCCTAAAATTCGCGGGTCGAGGACATTCGCTAGCGGATATGGACTCCCCGGTCCATATTCGCTAGCGGATTTTAGCTTTCCCGCGTTATTGCACCTCGCTCATCCAATCCCTCTGACTCTTGAGAGAGGGACTTGATCCAAGTCTAGATTTGGATCGGGGGGTCCATTTTGAGGGGGTCCAAATCTGCTGGGACACCGGACGCGATTCGGCAACGCGACGCGAATTTTCAGTTTTCAAAAACAAATAAAATCGTCAACGGGTAAAAATTTTACAAGATGTGCAGACCAAATAGCTAAAATTGCTTAAGTGGTTCCGAATATTTGAAAAACATTGCAAAATATTAAAGTTAAATATCATTGAAAACTGAAAATTCGCGTCGCGTTGCCAAATCGCGTCCGGTCTCTATGGGCCTTAAAGGGCTAGCAGGCTACTAAAGGGCGGGCGAAACGTAGCTCTGTTTTTAGGCTACAATCTTGGACAACTTTATTTTTTTTTTTTTCAACCTTTTTTTTTTTTTCAACTAATATTACAAAGTTTTGAACATTGACAAAACAAACTTTGTCTCTCCCTCCCCCCAGTACAATGTTGTGAACAACGCCAAAACAACTTTTGGTAATATACCATGATACAAGCTCAACATTGAGTTGGGGGAGCTGGGGTTTAAGAATGGCAACATGATTAGCATTCCCCCCCCCTAGCTTTTCCCACCCTCGCCCTCCCCCCTAAATAGCGCCTGCTACGCAGGCTACAACATGATTCAACATGGAGTTTATCACAAAAATACGCGAATTTTCAATAAGGGAAAAATAGTGTCAACCAGTTATGTCCAAGATTGTAGCTAAACTTCGACCACTGAACTGGAATCTGCAAAACCCGGAATGGAAAAAGCCGGAATCTGTAAAACCCGGAATGAGAAAAGTGGGAATCACCACGGAAATTGAAAATCTGCTCTCCTTTTTGGTCTTATTTGCATGCTTAATTAATTCAGGGCGATTATTCAGGGTTCCGGAACCCTAAAGTTTGGTTTAAAGATTCTAATTATTTGTTATTTATATCAATTTGTTTACTACCGTTTGCAAGCTACAGTCAACCGTGAGCATTTAATTTAAACGTGTTTGCATGTTTACGTTTGTAACAAGTTTCAAGGCTTGGATGCCATGGAAAACTGGAAAAATCTTTGAAAATCATCTAACTTTTATCCTTAAACTTAAGGAGAGGAATGCAATTAGAAAAAAATGACATCGAAACAACTTTTGGACAATTATAAAGTTTGTTCGTTCACTGCAACCAGGTATATCAATCATGTTTCGCTCGCTACTCTGGTTTAAATAAATGATTACAAAGCCCAGTCGAATTGTAATCAAGACCCAATTGTTATACATAATTTTAATTGAAATTGGAGAAAATAAACATTTGGGCAATAATCCTTGGGCTGGTAATAATTCTTCAATTATTTCCAGCCTACTGAAAAAAAATTCCAGGACTTTCAAGGACCTTATCAGTTTCCAAGGATTTTCCAGGCCTGGATTTTTTTTAACAAATTCAAGGACTTTCCAGGATTTTCAAGGAAAGGAATTTTCAATATGAGTTTAAGGATTTCAAATACTTTCACTGTTTTTCAAGCCTTCCAAATTATATACGAATGTTTCCATGGCCCGTTTCACCACGCGTGCATAATTATATTAGTCTGATTCATGACATTGATCTGATTGCGCGCATTACAACTCTAAAACCGCTTAGCCTTTCCACTGATTGTATGTTAAGCTACCAAAGCCAAAGCTGTTTAAGGGAATATGCGCTTCCTTAAACTTAACATCCTCAAGGCAGGCTGGTAAAGAAATATCCTGTTTACATTAAACGAAAAAAGCGGCGTCCGGTGTATTGAGTGCCATACCGTGATTGTTTGCTAACAAACTTAACTTCGAGCTTCAAATTAAACTGGACCCCACGAAGTTGTCACATGGCAAGCTGTTCTATCGTTCTCACCTGCATCGTCTCACGAGCCAGAACTGTACTTAATACTGAAATACCTTAACCGTCAGAGTATTTTTAATATTTTTCGGGTAGATCAGACACAAATAACTGCAGCCTGTTGTAGAATACCTACTTACACTGGACCAACACGCTTTATGTGAGATATCTTTTCAGGTAGTTCAGACACAAACCACGACAGCTTATTATAGAATACTACCTACACTGGACCACCACGTTTGAGATATCTTTTTCAGGCAGTTCAGACACAAACCACGACAGCTTATTGCAGAATACTACTTACGACACTGGACCACCACGTTAAAAATGCCCTTTTCATATAGATGATTTTCATACGTTTATTCAGAAATATATATATATACAGTTATCATATAGAGATGACTCAACAAAGTTCTATTGGAGGCGGGCATTCAGGTACGGCACCCAGTACAAAATGCGCCGCCCTAAATGCCTTCAAGTCCTCCTCACTGCATCGTAATGACGTCATTGTAGTTGACCGAGCGCCATCAGTCGAGGTCTGGGCACCAGAGGAATTGTCTTCGCTGAACATTGATGTACTTGAGGGGGTATTATTGACTTGTGTGGATCCAAAAGCACTCGGTGAGGAACCAAAAAAGGTAGATGGGGTTGTGGTGGGATTGGAGGATGTAAATGGTCCTGATGTAAACGGTCCTGATGTATGCATGCTGAAATTAAACAATTTAGAAAGATTGTTAATATATGTTGATCAACCAGCAGTTATCAGAGTGAGAAAATATAAGGTTAATTCCTTTCATTATATGTAGTAGTCTTCCTCCTACTGTATGTTCAAACTCCCAACTCCAACGTACCTTTGTAGACTGGATCCAAGCAATCCAGTTGATGACGTAGCCATACTCACACTACTCTCACCAAATAAGGAAGTCTCGCCAAGGGACTGAGGAGAGGAGGCTAGGTTACCAAATAACCCACCAGGCACCGTACTGCTCGGCTGAGATGACCTTGATATCTCGTCTTGCTAAATATAATAGGTAAACATGTTTTTCATACTTATCTTTTCAAAATAATTCCGAGAACGCGACTCTATCAGTTGTAAACGGTTCTCCCTAGAGATCCTGTGATTCCTGTAAGGGTTATTTCGTATTGATCCAATGTTACTACAGGAGGAAACCTAAACTAACATTATCTATACTGGATAGCTCTATCGGTTCTAAACTGTTCTCCCTGGAGGTCCAGTAAGGATCATCTCTTATTGATCCAGTGTTACTACAGGAGGAAACCTAACTAAACTAACTTTATTTATACTGGATAGCTATCCAGCTGTATCGGTTCTAAATTGTTCTTCCTAGAGGTCCAGTAAGGATAATCTCTTATTGATCCAGTGTTACTACAGGAGGAAACCTAACTAAACTAACTTTATTTATACTGGATAGCTATCCAGCTGTATCAGTTCTAAATTGTTCTCTCTAGAGGTCTAGTAAGGATAATCTCTTATTGATCCAGTGTTACTACAGGAGGAAACCTAAACTAAACTAACTTTATTCATACTGGATAGCTCTATCAGTTCTTAACTGTTCTTCCTAGAGGTCCAGTAAGAATCATCTCTTATTGATCCAGTGTTACTACAGGAGGAAACCAAAACTAAACTAACTTTATTCATACTGGATAGCTCTATCAGTTCTTAACTGTTTTCCCTATAGACATCCAGTAATGGTCATCTCTTATAGATCCAGGAAGCAAACTGGAAACACTCATCTCACATGTGACTGAGGTGAAATTATAATCAGACCACCGCCACTAAACTCTGGTTTCAAAGATAAGATGCGCAGTTTATACCAACCAATTGTGAAGACGACATAGTTGCTAATTCTTCTTTTCTACGTCTGTATTTTAACATAGTTTGCTGAAGAGATTGCGCCTTAATTAAAAAAAGAAAAATTAAACTTGCATGGCTAAATGTGATAAAATAATACGATAGCTGATGAGAATTTTCGCTACGAGAGCGGCAATATCCAGTCATCTCCCATGTAACTCTTGTTCTCGTTTGACCAGGGCATGAGAGTTGAGAAAACTCTGATGTAAACTCTCGCTTCTCAGCTCTCATGCAACTCTCGTTCTCGTTTGACCGGGGCATGAGAGTTGAGAAAACTCTGATGTAAACTCTCGCTTCTCAACTCTCATGCAACTCTTGTTCTCGTTTAACCACGAGAGTTAGAAAACTCAGAAGCACGTTTCTCCAAAATCAAGTTGCTATAAAAAATACGTTGCCTTTGACTCACATATTTGGCAGCATTTCCACCGCTATTCGCCTTGTATGCTTCGCTTCTCATCTCTTCCGGCGACACATCCATGAGACCTCGAAGGAAAAATACAATTTAAAAATACAATTTTAATTTCTAATAACTACCGGACCTTTTAAAATATTTCAAAGCTGTTTTAAACCTCTTGAAAGGTTTCATACCATCAAAACACGGCTCATTTACAAACGGAGCGTAACAAGACAATGGCCATTGCCCACTTTCATGCCATTCGCTCATGTCTTTTCTCACTCTGTCACTGAAAAAACATAAATGCAGAATTTTTAACTATATATAGAACTGTAGTTACACTAGATACAATACAGTATTATTGTCGATTTCAAATCACTTTTACAACGCGCGCGGGTCCCAAGTTCGTTGCGAACTACGTTTACCAACTAGGTTTGCCAACTACGTTTCCGCAAGTTCGGAAATTGCATGGACGCAAAGTTCGCAATTAAATGCATTTCAATGTTTGAACTTCGTTTGTAAACAAATGTTCATACTCAATAATAATAACCAATTCAATGAAATAAAAACCTTCTTGGTAGACCAATGACTTTCCGTTGAATTGTTAATTTCAACTTGAACTATGAACATTGAAATATACTTGCGAACTTTGTCGTGAAGTTCACGCCCAATTTTCGAACTTGGAAACGTAATTGGCAAGTTTGCAACGAACTTGGGACCCGCGCGTTGAAAAGTGGTTTGTAATCGACAATAACTCCCCAAATGGTAAACATTTTGAAAAGTGTTTACTCGATTTTAATCATCTCTCTGTAAGTTTAGTACATGTTATCACGACATACACTTTCTGATCCAGTGTTACAGAATGCTGGCTGGTTGTGGAATGTGCCCGATCTCGAGATTGCTGTGATCTGTTTTCATGGAAACTGGGAGGTTCTGGATCCGGCTGATGACTTAATGCTGAGAATCGATTCTGTGAAGAGAACAGGGTTGAAATTTATCAAGGCACTGTTGTCCCTAGAGGTCCAGTAAGGATCATCTCTTATTGATCCAGTGTTACTACAGGAGGCAACCTAAACTAAACAAACTTTATTCATACTGGATAACTCTATCAATTCTTAATTGTTCTTCCTAGAGGTCCAGTAAGAGTCATCTCTTATTGATCCAGTGTTACTACAGGAGGAAACCTAAACTACTAAACTGTTCTTCCTATAGAGGTCCAGTAGGGATTATCTCTTATTGATCCAGTGTTACTACAGGAGGAAACCTAAACTAAACTAAACTAAAGTATATTTATACTGGATAGCTCTATCAGTTCTAAACTGTTCTCCCTAGAGGTCCAGTAAGGATCATCTCTTATTGATCCAGTGTTACTACAGGAGGAAACATAAACTAAACTAACTTTATTTATGCTGGATGGCTCTATCAGTTCTAAACTGTTCTTCCTAGAGGTCCAGTAAGGATCATCTCTTATTGATCCAGTGTTACTACAGGAAGAAACCTAAACTAACTTTATTTATACTGGATAGCTCTATCAGTTCTAAACTGTTCTTCCTAGAGGTCCAGTAAGGATCATCTCTTATTGATCCAGTGTTACTACTTACTACACTAGAAGAAAGCTGAACTACACTTATTTTACTTGGATATTCCTATCAGTTCTAAACTGTTTCTTCTGTCTCTGGCGATCCAGTAAAAGTGATTCCTTACTGAATATTGGGCAAGCGTTACTACAGGAGGAAACTCGAGTATCCGAAGAAATGGTAGGAGCGGACTAAAAGCACTCTTCTCCGTGATGGACTGAAGGAATAAGTTGGAAGAAAAACCCGTAATCCTGCTTTGTAGTCCGATAGACGAGTTATTTAAGAATTGAAAAACACAGTTGGAGTCAAATTGAGACTCGTGTCGTTTTGTCCGGAACAAAGACATCACTCTCAATTATTTGATTTGTTGTGACAATATGGACGTTGAAGAATGTTCAAATTTTAACCAGCTGCCGGCCGGCTCTACTGGGTCTTTATAAACGCCAAATTTAATCGGCCAAGAAGCAGTTTATCTGCATTGCTTTGTGCTTTGGGTGATGATTTTTACCTCACATTTTTCTTTTACCAATTGATTTAAAATAATTGAAAGAAACTAAATATGAGTGTTGCTTGGAAATAAAGCATAAAAACTCAATAAAAAACTCACTATTGTAAAATAGGATTAACTATACAATATATAAGGATGAAAGGGCAACAGTCAGCCTGTCTATGCAATATTTTGAAAGAAAAAGCTTGTCTTACTAACAAAGACTCTTGATTATGAGTATAATGTATTGTACATCCCGTCATTAGCTATACATATAATGCTTGGTATTGATTATTGAATTTAATATTAATCTTTTCTATTCTTTGTGAGTATTGTTAACGAGAACGTAACGACACGTGCCAAACACTAAAATATCTTATTTGTATCAGCTATCTCTGCATGGATCTGAACATCACCTGCATTAACGCGCGGAACAATACGAAATCCAAAATCTGGCAACGTCCCAAGAAGCGGCAGTATGATGTACATACACTCAAATTAAAATTTAAAAATCTTTTGCAAAGTTGTTTCATACCTGCAAACAAGTTGTTTTAATTCTGTTAATGTGAGAGAGAGTTTCGCGAACCAAACACCTCTTTTCTCCAGATATACCCCTGTTTCCTCCTGTATATAGTAACACTAGATCAATTAAAGGGCGGCTCTTACTGGATCTCTAGGGAGAATAATTTTGAACTGATAGAGCTATCTAGTATAAATACAGTTAGTTTAGTTTAGTTTAGGTTTTTTCAAATTTCTCCTGTAGAAACACTGGATCAATAAGTGGTGGTCCTTACTGGCCCTTTAGGGAGAACAGTTTAGAACTCGACTACCGGTATCACTATATATATGCCGGTGTTTCTGCTCAGCAACTGGCCTCTGTAGTTCAGTCGGTTAGAGTGCTGCACAGGCGGAATCACAGGGCTGCAGGTTCGATAGCCAGCCAGAGGGCCTATATAGTTGCACTCTTTGCAACTGCTCCTGGTATAAAAAATCTATAAAAATCTACAAAAACCGACCTACTATTAGTTCTATATCAAGCGAGATAGCAAAATCTCAATCTGAGAAAATTAACTCCACTCAGACGAGTTCTGTATTAGCATTGCAGATCACTGCGGAAGCTAAGGTAGCCCACATTCCAGTAATCAAGAGAACACGTACATATATTATCACCGCGTGATCTAACCATGCTTAATTAGCTCAGGGGAGATTCAATCTTACATAACGGTTATACATGCAACATTTAAATAAATATCATTATTATCATTATTATTGCAACATTAGGGTAGCCTATAAATTGATGAACATATACTATACTTCCATAATATCGACCATTTAAAAATAATATGACTATACCACTAGAAAAACGTCTACTTTGAAAAAATTGTACTCCCATATAGACCGTGTCAAAAGAAAAAATACGAAATGTTCTTGACGGAAAAAAATCTTGTTGAGCAAAACTCAAAATTTACTTTTTCGAAAATGGGTTATTACTTTTGAAAAATATACACTTGTATATTTAATATATTTTAGTTATATAATTATTATCTAAATATGTTTTAATATACGGACATCATTTTTGTTCGATCAACATTTGTTTAAACGAATATTAGATAAAACATATACATTGGCAGCTGTGTTAGTTTAAAAGGGAACCGTATGATTTTGAAACATTTTGTCCCACAAAACTCACCGGTTTTTTCAAAACTTATTGCATTCTTGGCCCAGGGTCTCGTTTCTATGTGGTCAGTTCCTCATGTTCCGAGCACAGTAGGGTTACGGATAGAGTTGTGATTGGGCTCAAGATCAAAGAGAAATATATTCATGCATGAACGTGAGGACGTGACCTTCATATGCGTTTGTCTTGCTAAAACAGGCATGGGAACGAGGCTATTGGGGGGGAAAGTGGAAAAAACAGGAAAATGTATTCATCGTGTGAATGGGATCTTTAGGCAGCCTCTAGTTTAGTAGTGTACTATATTTCATATTTGCATATTCAGTTGTAAAACATGAATAATAAATGAAAACCACGTTATACGTGCAAAACCACGACGATGTGTGTTTGTTTCAGCAATGCCAATGTGACCCAAGTAGGGCTACTGTTTCATATTGCAAAGGCCGAAAGTTTCCACATCAGCTAAATGTGTAGAAAACGTAGTGGTATTTCCAAATCTGGTAAGGTTTGAGCATTCTTGTGTTTTATTTAATTGATCTGCAAAAGTCCTCAGCTAAGGGAGCGAATCACAGCTGCTTATATGTCGGGTATAGTTGCAATTAAAAACTGAGTGTGTTCGCTGTTAGAAATCGTCCAAAATATCGAACATATTTTGCGACTTTTGCGTGCGTCATCTCAGCCTAAGTGCTGCATTTGTAAAAATGGACGATTTTCGGGCAAAATAACAGGATTTGATAATCAAGTCAGAGCCCACCAATGAAAAACGTTTATTAATTCTATTTAAATTATCCGATACACATTTGGGTTATTTAAATGAGGAACGTTGAAAATATCCTTTGTCTTGAGTGAAATTCAACGCGTTCTTTGATTTTCCTAGGCTGTTAGCTTGGAACAAAGGTAAACACAAGCAGATGACAATCATATTTGACAAGTGATACTCCAATACAAATGCAAATTGAAATGACGCAGATAAAACAGACTCGGGCCAAGGGTTAGAAAGCTTCGCTTGCTGCAGCTGGGAGCCCAAAGTGGAGGCATCGTACAAACCTCAGAAATGGCCTGGTGGATTGCAATACTACTATTTTCTGTGCATCTATACGTTGGTCGCGCTGTGGATTACAAGCTCGATGGCAAATCCTACATCATCTATTCTCCTTCTGCAAAATCTTCGAAAACATATTCAATGATTCATATGCTTTTTCGAACAGCTGAGACCTCGGGAGTTTTGCTACACGCAAGAGGGACGAACGGTGATTTTATTACCCTCGAAATTGTACGAGGAAAATTAAGGTAAGATGTTTTATTATGGCGTCTTATGAACTAATCCTAATATATATACCCTTTCTTTAATTCACTTTTATTTCCGTTCGAAAAACAATTTAACTCTGACTGTTAGTATAGTTTTTCTTTCAAGTTTTCACAAAGCATTTTGTTAAAGTATCAAAAAAAGGAATACGAGCAGAGTAATGTTTTATCATGTACATTTTAACGTACGTAAAACTAAAAGGATTATTTCGCGATCAATTTTTGTGGGTTTTATCATTTGATTTACGAAAAGCGTCAAGGTTATAGTGACGTTCCATAGCCATGCATATTCTCCTAATGAGTTTTGTGGTTTTGAGCGAAATTTTAATAAATATATATTGTCTCTATGCTTTTTTGTATGTCTATCAGAGAGTGAAAAATTACATTGCGATTTTTGATGCAGATAAAACTACTCACGCATCTGAATATGAACATATGAACATTTGCGCAAACACTTTTGCTGTGTTTTCCTGAAGGTAAAATTTTTGTGCAAAGCTGAAATTATCCAGTGGTTTCCATGTCCTCTGCGGTGGTAATAAAAACGTTTTAAAAATCTATCAAAATATTTTCGTTTAGCTCCCGCCAAGCAAAATGCATGAATGGAAAGTTATATTGTGCAATATTTCAAATCAAGATAAAAGCATGTTACTTGCTGAGACACAATTTCAATTTAACCCTTTTTCAAATGGATTATATTGTTCCATTTCCTGCTTAAAGTAGCCAGATTTATAAACTAGGTTTCATTATATCAAAAACCTCCAAATATCATTGCCATGTTAAACTAGCTAGGATGATTTATACGACGAAAACATGTCAACGAGATGAGCTACAAATTCAATACAGACAGCTATCTCTTTCATTAGCTTCTTTATGGATACAGCCCTCAAATCCTTTTATAAAATGGATTTAGGGTTGGCTTTTAGCTTTATCAGATGTATTCAACTTTTGATAAAATTCTTCCGTATTTAGAAGCTATCTTCTTATAGCCTCTGAGCATCTTAGTTTTAGGATGGCGCCAGTTTACTGTATAGTAGTACATTTTACGGTGTCTCAAGCTAGACTGTTTTATTTCTCAGTGGAAAGGTTTTTTAACGAGTTGAAATATGGATAATGTTCTACTGTGAATTGTGTCGAACTGCGTGGAAAATATAGAAAATATATCGTTTCGAGCGAATGCCCTTGCATGTCCAAGGAAGAAGGCTTCTCTCGGAACGTCCATGAGAATTTTCCATATATTTTTAAAGTACTTGCATCCTTCAACCGACTCTGTCAGGACTAAAGATTTCGCTGCAGATTTGCGGGGTTTTTCAGAAACCCAAGGGGCACCCTCCCCCCCCCCCCCCACCCATAACGCGTCTCGTCGGCCGTGTCTATAGACGGAACGTCAACAGGTGCTAGAACACAATCACTTTTTAATTTTCAAACAAAACTTGCCGTCCATCATTTCTTTTGCTCTTGTTTGCTTAAGATTTGTTTGTATACTTTTATAAAACGCTTCGTTGTATTAAACAAAGGCAAGGGATAATAAAAAATGTGGATAATCTTCTAAGACCTGGTTCCGTACGATTTTCATAATGAATATACAGCGGTGTGGCCTTGATCTGCGGTACACCGCACCGAATGCCAGCTATAATAGACTTAAATACTTAATCTCATTCATTCGCTGTTTTCTTTACTATAGCCGGATCTATAGAGTGTAGTCTAACACGAACGCCGAAAGTAGTATACATTCGTTGCATGCCGAGATTTATATTTAATATGCCTCGCGGTACAGACGAGTTTCAAAAAAGTTTCTCAAGAGAAAACTTTTCAATTTTTATCGCACATATACGAGTAGTATATTAATTGTCATAAGAGTATATATCTTGTGTGCATAAGCATAGATTTGTAGTTTTTTTCCTCAGTTGACTCGATAGCTCCGTTGGTAAAGCATAACTATAGCTTGGTTTTCAGTTAACCCTACAGTGAAAATATGAGCTACCGAACTAATAAACATGACCTCCCTGCAGAGGCATAATAAACATGACCTCCCTGCAGAGGCATATGTGAATGGGGGCCGGGGGGAAACTATAATTTTGCGTCCCTACAAACTGAAGTGTGTTAGGAGGGGTCCCATGCATGATTCCGAGAATAGAAAAATTCTGGGATAATTACAATTGAAAGCTTGGAATTGAGAGGGAAGTATTTAAGTCTATTATAGCTGGCATTCGATTGTCACTAGCTAGGCGGGCACAGGCCATTCTAGTTATATTTATGCATATTTTACTTTAATTGGGAGACCATGGGGACTAAAATATAGCTCAGTGAAAGTATAAATAAACACAGCCTGGGCTTTCTGTGGTAAAACATCTCGTGCAGTTCTAGTCTCTTGCGAAATGTTTTGTCTTCTTGTTACGTACGGAAGATTTTTGTCAATGCATGGGGACAATGCAGCTCATCAATCATTCATTTCAGGCGTATTATAATGCAGTTTCAATGTTTTCCAAAAGATAATGCTCTTAAGCGTTCCGGTAATACGTTGTAGATCAGATAGAGTCATGCAGATAATATAAACATGCATAAAATACACTTAATTTGCGATGATCAATGTAGTTGTACTTTTTCAAAAGTAATATCCACATTGACACAACAGTCGCTAAATTGATTTCACAATTTCTAAGAGAGATTTTGCGCGTCATTTAAGACATTATTTGCTTTCTCCTAATTGAGAAATGATTTCGAAATTAATTTCAAATTTAATAAAATGGCACACGCGATATTTGATATAAACAAGTTTGTTTTTCTTAAGCAAATATTGGCAGATGTTTATGGAGAACAATATTTTTTAGCGGAGGGCTGGCAATTGTACAGTTATATTTTAACTTAGCTGAACTTTTTGAAGATAACTACTTATAATAGAGTTCGTGAATTTATATCTCGAGTTTTGAAACACAGCACATTGCCATTGTCATCTAATCTTCTTAAGGTTGGTTGACACTATCAAAGTTTCTGTGATCACAGTAGGAATTTTGCATACATAGGTAAATTTTAACACCGAGTTAGTTCCTCAAACATTTCTTACAAACCCTTCAAAACGTAGAATATACCTATGCAAAATTCCTACTGTGATCACAGAAACTTTGACAGTGTAAACCAGGCTTTGGGTAACATGTTGGATTGGGAATCTGTTTCAGCACAAGGCAAGCCTTAATTAATGCGCATTGAATTTACGTAAGTCGTACGAAAAAAGTAGTACATCAGGACTCTATGGAGATCGATCTAGAGCTCTGATAAAGCTATTCAATATATTTTTCTGTGGTAACACTGATAAGTGATGGCCTTAGTGGATCTCTAGGGCAGGAGCGATTTAGAACTGACAGGAACAGCTATTCAGTGGAAACAAAGCTAGTTTAATTCGGCAAAAGGACCGATGCATGAATTGTTAACCAATTTACCAAAAACCTAAACATGGCAGTACCCTAGTAGTATATGTACATGAACTTGTGGTTAGAGCTTGACAACTGTCTCTCTGTAGCTCAGTTGGTTAGAGTTCGACAACTATCTCTCTGTAGCTCAGTTGGTTAGAGCTTGACAACTGTCTCTCTGTAGTTCAGTTGGTTAGAGCTCGACAACTGTCTCTCTGCAGCTCAGTTGGTTAGAGCTTGACAACTGTCTCTCTGCAGCTCAGTTGGTTAGAGCTTGACAACTGTCTCTCTGTAGCTCAGTTGGTTAGAGCTCGACAACTGTCTCTCTGTAGCTCAGTTGGTTAGAGCTTGACAACTGTCTCTCTGTA